AAGAACCAGAGTTACTAGTAGGTAACCTCTTTTCTCCTTCATGTCCTCTGAATACACACTAATGGGTGACTAGTAAGCTGACTAACCTGGAGGAGGGTCGTCACGAAAGTGCAGAAGCCAGGAGAGCTTGCCCTACTGCAGCCTGAACCTTAAGCTGGGCAACCAGGCGGTAGGGCGAGATGAAGGGAGACGGAGTGGTGCACGTGTCAGCACGGCAGACATGCACGGCGTCCACGTGACAGAGAAAGGCCATTGAGGAGGCTACCACTCTAGTAGAGTGAGCTCTCACTGATCTTGGAAGAAGAGTCCGTGCCAAACCAAAGGGAAGGCAGATGGCCTGGACCATCCAGCTAGACATGGTCTAAAAGAAAGCTGGTGCTCTGAAGGAGAGCCAGCAAAGGTGACAGAGAAACGTGAGGCCCAAAAAGTGGTCGTGTGCACAGAATATGGCAAAGCACGCTGCACATCTAGAGCGTGCAGAGCTGTCTCCAGCAGTGAAGATGGTGTGGGGAAGAAACCAGGAAGGAAAGCTGGCTAGTTCAAATGGAAGACAGAAAAATACCATAGGCAAGGTACAGGCCGGCTGCTACTGAAACTAGTCCTCCAGCCATGCTTTGCTTTTGCTTTACTACTAGTTCGATCGAGATGCAAAAGCATCCCTGTCTGGAGAACCCCATCAAAGACAGAGGCAAAGGAAGATGCAACAGTCAAGGGCCCGCTTGTATACAGCCACTGGATAAATGCGGCGAGCATAAAAACCATTCCGAAGAAGGCGTAACTAGAAAGTGCCGCCCTGTGTGTTCATACAGGAAACTGCAGTGGTTTAGACTGATGTGACCTGGACCATCTGACTCCAGACCAGGGACTCAGAGGCCCAATAGGCCTTAGTGAGTGCTAGGAGCTTCAGCACAATAATATGCAGACTGGTTAGCGTCATGGATCAGTGGACAAGGGCAATGTGGTGGCGTAGGCAAGCCCCCTTCCCAGCCTAGCGGGCTGGTACTCGCTACTGACCAAACTGGTGCAGTCCAACCAGATGCCCACATGAAAATGAGCATCTTATGATAAACCAATCCCCTGGATGTAACTAGTGGATAACAGAGTCCAAGTAAACCAAATTGGAACTGCGTAGAGTTATAAAGAATTCAGGCTCCAAAATGAAGGATGGGCCAGAGCCTTCCATCCTTCTCTCTCCCCCCCCTTTTTTTTTGCTGGAAGTTGGGGTGAAGGTGGCTATAGCACAGCCTGTGACAGGGGCATATCGAAGATAGTGGCAAAGCTGGTAGCTATGATAGAAAGTACTAGTCAACAACAGAGAAGTGAAGGGACCACTCAGTTTTGCAGTCCTACCTGCAATTCTGCTGGTCAGGGCACTGCCTGCCCACATGTCGGGGCGGCGGCTGGTAATTTTGGGGTTGAGACTTTAAACGTTCCGAAGGCTGATCGGAACATCTTCAGGCTCTTGTAGTTGTTACAGCGCAAAAGACTGTGTCGCTTCCTAGAGCCTGAGCAGGTTATCAAGAAGAGTAACCTTTTCCTGACTAAAAGCCATACACCAACAAACGGCAGGTCCAAACCCGTCAATTGCTTAAATGCTGGTTTTAAGGCATATCGAGCAACAGTAAACTCGTGACACACTTGCAACAGTGCCTCCCAGTGATGTGGAAGGCCTCAACTGTAAGCGTGTACATGAGCTACCTGCAGGGTGGGCAGAACCAAA